ATGTATGGTATTCAGCTTTGCTCAGGTATTTTTCGACATCATTATAGTTGTGCTTTTAAAGTTGTAGCAAGATTTCGGCAGAATCTCATCTACCAACATCATCTACCAGGTGAACACAGTGCAGATATATGGTGTGTGTGTGTATGTGTGTGCTTTTAAAGTTGTAGCAACGTTTTGGCAGAATCTCATCTGCCATCATCAGGCTTCTGTATTTTGTTCGTCTGACTCACTGCCTGCCCCACCACATGCATTGGACAAACTAACAGAAGAATAAGTGCACGCATTGAAGAACATAAGAACTCAATCAAAAAACTCTTCCCTGGTCCAACACCTCAAAGCCACAGGACATGAGATTGACTTTAAAAATACTAGAACTATCGCCAAAACTGAACACTTCAACAACAGAATAATCAGAGAAGTCATAGAGATAGAAAAACGCCCACACAGCATGAATAAACAAGATGATACCTCCCACCTATCACCCATTTGAAAACCTGCCCTCACAAACAGACGAGTACCTAACATGAAGAATGACACCAGACCCACACCCACAAGGGCCACACAAGATTCTACCACCACACTTCCATGTAGAAAGCAGACTCACACCCACTCAGAAGATGAGACATGACCATGGACCAGAAGCTGCACTGCAGCTACATCACTACCCGCTTCAAACCCCTCCGAGCCATACATGAAGTGAACTGACACGCACCATGAAGACGCGGCACGACCACGAATGCAAAGCCAAACAGCAGGATCACAGCTCACCAGCTCAAATCCTCCAGCAACTAAGACTAACCTGAGCACAACCAAGCCCCCACCTGAACAGAACTCACCTCAAGCCAATCAGAACATGGCCAACCCCACAACCAATCAGAACACAGCCAAACCCCCAACCAATGAGAACACACCCCCACCCAATCAGAACACAGCCAAGCCCCCATCCAATCAAGTCACACCGCCACTAGCAGTTAAAAGGAAGAAGCAGCTGCAAGCTCACATTACTCTGAGAAGCACAGAGCCGAAGACACAAGCCT